CTGCCAAACAACAGTGACGGCTGCAACCAAAAAATAGCCGGGTGTTGTGGCAGGCGCCTGTTGTGGGAGGCTAAGGTAGGAGAATCGCTTGAGCCCAGGAGTTAGAGGTTGCTGTGAGCTGTGATGCCACAGCACTCTACTGAGGGTGACAGCTTGAGGCTCCATCAAAAAAAAGAAATATATATATATTGCTAGAAACAAATTGGGCCATTTCATAATGATAAAAGAATCAATACACAAGGAAGATATAGCTATTATAAATGCTTACACAACTAGCAACAGGTCTTAAAAGTATGTGAAGTGAAACTGATTGAATTAAAAGGAGAAATACACAATTCAACTACAACTGATTTCAAAACTTGATAGCACACTAGACAGAAAATCAGCAAGAACATAGAAGACTTAGAGAGCATGCTCAACCAACTTACCAAACTCTTAGGTAAAGAGTGCCTATTTTTTCAAGTGTATGTGGATACATAGTAAGGAAGGCCAAGAAATAAGTCTTAATACATCTGGAAAGAATGAGATTATATAATGCATGTGTATGTTTTCCAGCCGCTATAGAATTAAGTTATAAATCAACAGCAAATGAAAATCTAAAAAATCTCCACAGTAAAATTTAATTGTTATTTAAGTGTTACTTAATTTCTCCAGTGTGAAATTAAATAACACACTCCTAAATATCCACTGGAACAAAGAAGAAATCACAAAAGATTTTAAAATGTCTTGGGCTAATGGAAAACCAGAGTACAACATATCAAAATTATAGAATATAAATAAAGCAATACTTAAAGGGACATTTATAGCTTTTGATGCCTTTGTCAAAAAAGACAAAAGGTCTGTAATGGATAGCTTTAGCTTCAACCTAAAAAACTATAAAAAAACCAAAATAAAACCAAAGTAAGCCAGTGAAAGGAAATAATAATGATTAGAAGATAACTCTGTAAAATAGAAAACAGAAATGTAATAAAAAAAAAAAAACACTGAAACTAAAAGTTTGGTCTTTGAAAAGATCAATAAAATTGACAAACCTTTAGCAAGAAACCAAAGAAAAGATAGAGATTAGCAAAAGCAGAAATGAAAGAGCAAATAGAACTGTGGCTCCTACAGAAGTTAAAAATAAAGAAATGTTATTGGCCGGGCACAGTGGCTTGCTTATAATCCTAGCACTCTGAGAGGCCGAAGTGGGTAGATTGCCTGAGCTCAGGAGTTCAAGACCAGCCTGAGCCAGAGTGAGATCCCATTTCTGAAAATAGCCGGGCGTTATGGCCAGTGCTTGTGGTCCCAGCTACTTATAAGCTAAGACAAGAGAATCACTTAAACCCAAGAGTTTGAGATTGTTATGAGCTTTGACGCCATGGCACTCTACCAAGGGTGACGAGGTGAGACTATCTCAAAAGAAAAGAAATGTTATAACTAACTTTATGCCCACAAATTAAACAATTTAGATGCCATGACCAAATTCCTTAAAAGATACAGATTTTCAAAACTGACTCAAGAAGAAATAGTTAATCTAAAGAGGACTATAATAAGTAAAAAATTGAATTAGTAATTTAAAATATTTTCATAAAAAAAGATCTAGGCCAAGATGATGTTACTGTTGGATTTTATCAAATGCTTATAGAATAGATTACAGATAATGCCAATTCTTCCCGTACTCTTAGAAAATATTGCTCATGAACATAGAGGGAAAAATTCTTAACCATATTAGCATAGAGTCCAGCCAGCTCTAGAAAGGGTTATGTACCTTGACCAAGTGGAATTTATCCCAGAAATTCAAGGTTGGTTTAACATCTGAAATCACTTGCTGTAAAGTACTGTAATAGATAATAAAATCATAGACTAAAAGACAAAAACCTTATATGTCAGAAAAAGCATTTGATAAACTTTAATACCCACTGATAATGAGAAATCTCAAGAGACTAGGAATGGAAGGGAATTTTCTCAACCTGATAAATAGCATCTATAAAATCCTACAGCTAATATTATACGTAATGATGAAAAGCTGTGTGTTTTCCCCCTAAGACTTGGCAGGAGATCTTATTCTCACCTCATCTATTCAACATTGTGCTGAAGATTTTAGTCAGTGTGATCAGGAAAGAAAAAGAAATAAAAGGCATCCAAATTGGAAAGGAAGAAGTAAAACTGTCTTGTATGTCAACCTGTATGTAGAAAATCTCAAGAAATACACGCCCCCAAATCTACTAAAACTAATAAACATGTTTAATGAGGTCACAGGATCCAAAGTCAACATACAGAAAAATTGCTACACTTCTATATAATGGGAACAAAAGTCCTAAAACTGAAATTAAGAAAAAGATTCCCTTTACAGTGGTACCAAAAATAATAAAATAGTTGGGTATACATTTAACAAAATGAGTATAAGACTTAAACAATGAAAAGTACAAAGCATTACTTAGAGAAATTAAAGGTATAAATAAATAAAGAGCCACTACATGTTTATGGTTTGGAAGGTTCGGTATTGTCAAGATAGCAGTACTCCCCAAAGTGATCTATAAATTTAACACAATTCCTGTGTAAATTCTAGCAGACTTTTTATAGAAATTTTAGGCAGTCCTAAAATTTCCATGGATATGAAGACCTAGAAATAGCCAAATGAGTTTTAAGAACTAAGTTGGAGGACTTAAACTGCCTTATTTCAAAACTTACTATAAATCTGGTGTGATCAACATAATACGATACTGGGACTATATATAGACATTAGAGGAATGGAACAAAATTAAAAGTCAAGGGACACAAAACCTCACATTTTTCATCAGTTGATTCCCAGCAAAGGTGCCATGACAACCCAGTGGATAAAGGATAGTTTTCAACAAATTGTGCTGAAACAATTAGAAACTCATAAGGAAAAAAATCTTTGACTTGAGCCTGTGCCATACATAAACATTAACTCAAAATGGATCATAAACCTGAGTATAAAGGGCAAAAACTATAAAACTCTTAGAGGAAAAATAGGAAAAAATTTTTATGCCTTTGAGTTCGACAGAGAGTTCTTAGGTATGACATCAAAAGCACAAACCACAAAAAAAAAAAATGATAAATTGGAATTCAACAGAATTAAGAATTTCTTCTTTTTGAAAAACGCTCTTATGAGAATAAAAAGACAGTTGATATACTGGAAGAAAATATTTGAAAATCTTATTTCTGAGAAAAGACTTATATCTAGAGTAAAGAACTCTTAGAATTCAGTAAAACATCCCAACTTAAACATGGGCAGTAGATTTGAATAAATATTTTGCTTAAGAATATATACAAGAGGCTAACAGGTACATGAAAAGGTGTTCAGCTTCATTATTCACTGGGGAAATGCCAATTAAAAGTGTTATGAAATACCACTAGAAATATCCCCACTAGAATGGCCATAATCAAAAAAGACAATAACAAGTGTTGGTGAGGATGTGGAGAAACTAAAATCCACATACTTTGCTGGTGAGATTATAAAATGGTACAACCTCTTTGGAAAGCAGTTCTTTCTAAGATAGTTTCTTTAGAGCCTGGCGTTGTGGCAGGCACCTGTAGTCCCAGCTACTCGGGAGGCTGAGGCAAGAGAATCACCTAAGCCCAAGAGCTGGAGGTTGTTTTGAGCTGTGACACCACAGCACTGTACCGAAGGTGACAAAGTGAGACTCTGTCTCTAAACAAACAAAAAAAAAGATAATTTCATTTAACCCTACAATTCTACTCCTAAGAGTCTATCCAAGAGAAATGAACATATTTACATAGACATGTACACAAATGTTTCTAGCAGCATTATTCATAATAGCCCCAAACTAAGAACAGTCCAAATGTCTATCAACAGGTAAATGAATAAACCATATGTACCATATCCATACATCAGAGTAGTATTCTCCAATAAAAAGGAATGAAGTGGGCTGGGTGCGGTGGCTCACATCTGTAATCCTAGCACTCTGGGAGGCCAAGGCAGGTGGCTTGCCTAAGCTCAGGAGTTTGAGGCCAGCCTCAGCAAGAGAGAAACCTTGGCTCTAAAAAATAGCTCAACATTGTGGCAGGTGCCTGTAGTCCCAGCTAACAGGGAGGCTGAGACAAGAGAATTGCTTTGAGCCCAAGAATTTGAGGTTGCTGTGAGCTTTGATGCCACAGCTCTCTACCAAGGGCAACAAAGTGAGACTCTGTCTCAGAAAAACAAACAAACAAAAAAAACAAAATAAAAGAATAAAGTAAGTAAATTAATAAAAGGAGTGAAGAACTGCTGCATGAGTGATCCTTGAAAACATGCTCAGGGAATGAAGTCAGAAACAAAGACCACAATTTCAGTAATTCTGTTTTTATGAACTGTCCAGAAAAGGTCCATTTTTAGAGAGAAAAGATATAATATTCTAGATCTAGAAAGGGGTGATTAGCTATAAACCAGCATGAGGAAACTGGAGTAATAGAAGGGTTGCACGACTGAATTATGATGGTTGTTGTCCAACTCCGCAAATCTGCGAAACATCAACAAATTTTACATTCATAGTGAGTGAATTATATGGTGTATAATTTCTATTTCAGTAATCCATTTTTAAAGGAATTTTCTTACTTTCTTGGCCTTTTCTGCTTAAATTTTATTAGTTTTTCTAAATCTTTATGCCACAAAGATTGATTTATATTTTCTCATAAACTTTCTGATTTATGTGTTTAATATTATCTATCTCGGAAGAATAACCGTTTTTAAAGAAGGACCTCTTTATATGTGTACCTTTCCTTCAGATCTGTTCTTGTAACACCTCTTTTTCCAGTTCCAGGTAGATAGTTTTTGATTTTCCACTGAAGTTTACTGTTCATTCTATGTCACTGGTTTTGTCTTTCACAATTTTTTTTTTCAGGATGATGTTAACTTTTAGAAACTAACTTTGGAACAATTTTTTATATACTTTTGCTGTCTCTTGTTACATTCTTTAATGTCTTTTTCCCATGAAAATATAAAATCTTATTTCTAAAATGCATTTTGGTTTTAATTTTATGCATGTCTCTTAAAACAGAATATGCTTCCCTGGGATCACTCTATGACTACATTAACAGTAACCGAAGTGAAGAGATGGATATGGACCACATTATGACCTGGGCCACGGATGTAGCCAAAGGTAAGAAAGTGTTTGGAATATTCTTATAAATTTGAGGGGAGCTTTTTCCCACCCTGAAAGGGGGACATAAGTCAAAACATTTTTTACCCTGTGTCTTTAGATGTTCTTTTTTTTTAATAGTAAGACTTTTGCAGCTGACTGTAGATTAGTATTTTAGGTCATTGCCTTTCTACTCCTCAGCTTGTTTTTTTCTTTTTTTCCTTTCTCTAAAATCAAGTTCTAGCTTAAGGGTAGACACTTTCGTCATGTTTTCTGATATTTCACGAACTGGCTTGCTTGATACATTAAATGGAAAAATCATAATTCTGTTATTGTTCTGAAAGTCTCTACTTAGACTCAGTATCCAGAAAACATGATTTATTATAGGATTAGTTTTCATTTTGTATATATAGTGTGCTAAAAATAGAAACCACTTGCAAAAAAAGAAAATCTTGTTTCTCCTGCCATATGAAAGCAATTCAGATTTTATTTTATATTTAACGTAAACTTGGACATCACCCTTGGAAATTAAATATTTTTAATATGCAAAATCTCTAAACAAGGTGCCCAGGCTTTTTCCTCTCATAAATTCCTACATGGACTAATGCTTTCTAAAGCAATTCAAGTTCCATTTATTTTTATCTTTTTTTTTTTCCATTTTCCTAACTGAACATTTCTGAGTTTTATTTATAACTGTCAAAGTTGTTTTGGAAACAACTTGATCTAAGTAATGAACGCTGATAGTTACATTTATATTCTAACAACCCGTAGACAGAGAGTCCACATTTTCCTGGAGAAGTTAACTCCTTTACATTTTACAACTCCCTTCTTTATAAGCATCTCCTTACAAAGCAAGTATGTTGGCTGGGTGCAGTGGCTTGAGGGGGGTAGATTGCTTGAGCTCAGGAGTTCAAGACCAGCTTGAGCAAGAGTAAGACCCTGTCTCTACTAAAAATAGAAAAACTAACCAGGCTTTGTGGTGGGTGCTTATAGTCCCAGCTACTTGGGAGGCTGAGGCAAGGGGATCATTTGAACTCAAGAGTTTGAGGTTGCTGTGAGCTATGATGCTAGAGCACCCTACACAAGGGGATGGAGTGAGACAGTGCCTCAAAAAAAAAAAAAAGCCTGTACATTATTTAGCATTTATACTTTGTTTTCACTGTGTGACTTGCAAAAGTCGTAGTCTTTCCTTTAGGGAATTATTTTGTCTGTTTTAAGTTTCATCAAAACCTGCCAAATTGTTCAAATAGGGAAAGTGAAACTTGGCTTTTTAGTTTTATGCTAGATGCTGCTGCTGAATGATACTTCATTACCTTATAAGAATAATAAAGCTCTATGTTTAGAGTGGTGTATTTAAGGCTTTGGTTGTGTTAATTAACTTAATTGTGTATTCATGCACCAGGCATCTCAAATCAGCCTTAAAATTTTATATTCTTCAACATATTTTCATGTGACGTCATAGTCGCTTCTCTGCATCTCAGCGGTACTCAGGGTCCCCCTGTTTGTAAGCAGAGTGATGTGTCATTACGGGGAGCTGCCTGCAGCATTGTGGAAGTATGCTTAGGTAAATTCAAACACATGTACCGCATAGGCAGTCCTTGACTTACAGCGCGTTACCTTACAAACATTTGCCTTTAGGGTGCTTAGCCAATTACACCCATGTTATTACTTAATGGCACTTAGGATGGGTAGACAGCAAACAAATCAACTGACAACAGTCTTTGCTTCCTGCTGTGCTCTACTTAAGCTTCTCTTGTTCCCCAGCCTGTGAGCTTCTGGTCCTTTCCCCCTCTCAAGTGCCTGCCTGCCATCCCTGCCCCAGGGGTGAATCTCTTGGCTCCAGATCAGCTCTTTCTCTGGGGTTTCTCAAGAGTGCTGGTGCTCTGCATCAGAAGGACAAGGAAGAGAAAGAACAGAATTAAGTAGCAAACTAGAAGTACAGGAAAAGAATAGGGAAGGAGAGGGTGAGAGTGACCTCCGAGGCGGTCTAAAACTACAGTCATAACATTCCTTTTGGCTGGCTGGTGAATTTATCCGAAAGGCAAGTCCGTGCTAATGTGTTTGGTCTCAGGCATGAAAAGTGAGGCAGAAAAGAGGCTTGATTATTAATAGTTACAGATAATACTTTTACTTAACATTTAAAAATCCTTTAAGGTGGACTATAAACGAAAAAAATAAATTAATGCTTTAGAAATGACTTTGACCCCCTCTGATAAAGGTATAGAACTTGGGGATTAAATAGGAAGGCTTTATTTTTGTTGATTCTGTTTCTAATTCAGCTATGTACCTTTCAGTTTGACTTTGATTAAATTGACTGGAGCAGTGATACGTGGAGAAATGAAAGAATGAATACATTCATTTCAATTAAGAGTCATGCATACATTTTGAAATAAGCATTTCTTAACATCATTGCTGTTAGAAGACTAACTCCTCAAAGCAAAAAAGATTCTCTTCTTCCTAGACAGGAAAAGGAGTGGACGGTGGGCCAGCAAGTATATCTGAAATTGCTACAAGTCCATCAGCAGCATTGAAAGGAACAAGTACAGCAGATAAACTTCAATCCAGTCTTAAAATGGTCACTGTGGATTCCTTACCTGCACAAAATTCTCCTCCCTAACATCTGTCACAGCTTTTTAGGAAACCCTGAGCATTTTAAACCTGATAAAAGTATTTTTCAGACTTCTTAACTACTGGCAGTAAAAACAAGGCAGGATTATAGATGGCTCTATAAAAACAAATTAAATAGAATTTTACATAATTGTGATGACTGTTTATATACAGTAAATATTATTTAAGTGTATACTATACATCATACACAAATAATTTATGGTACTTATAATAATTTGCTATGAGGGAGAAAAGTGCCTGTATTTAAAGCTTTTGTACTAGAATCTTGTCAGCAAGTGTGGAAACTATCTCTACCACTAAGAGTAATTAAATAGATTCTATCTGAAAAATTTTTAAGGAATTTGATTCTAAGACAAAAGAGAGGTAACTATGAAACTCAGTCATACTAAGATTATTAAATGCTACCCAGGCTTAGCTATTGAACTTTTACAGGTTTTTTTGGGGGGGTTGTCTGTTTGTTTTGTTTTTGTTTCTTGAGACAGTCTCAAGCTGTTGCCCTGGGTAGAGTGCCCTGGCATCATAGCTCACAACAACCTCCAACTCTTGGGCTCAAGCGATTCTCTTGCCTCAGTTTTTCTATTTTTAATAGACATGGGGTCTCGCTTTTGCCCAGGCTGGTCTTGAACTCGTTCAGTCTTTAAAAAACTGAAATATTCTACATGCTTTAAAAAGCCAAAGCCTCCTTCCTAAATTATTTTCAATGGATAGTTCATTTAAAAAAGAAATCTGTCCAATTATAGGGCTGGATGTGTGGGGCTATTTCTTCCATTGTTTAGAAAAGATAACTTGAAGGGGAGGGGGAAGGGCAGGTAATTGGTAGGACCACACCTGGGATGCATTTTACAAGGGTACATGTTAAATTTATTAAGTGTAGAATATAAGTGTCTTAACACGCACACCAAAAAAAGATAACTTGAGAAATAAAGGAAGAGGATGTATTTCAGTAGAAAGTTGTCCTTTTCTTTATTCTAAAGGGGTAGACAATACATACATACATATAGGGTCAAACATTAATAAGGGGAAACTGTGAAATATGTCTTTTACAGTGTAATTTTTGATTCAAAATACTAAAACTCTGCAAAGCTTATGTATATCCAGTTTACTGAAGTAAATTTGATTTACACCCTAAATATCATGGAAATAATTTTGGAGTATGCTTAAATATAGATTATCTCAAAGATTTATCCTTGTGAAAAGAGTAAACTATTGTGTAACTATCGTATAATTTTCTATCTGAAAAATCATATAATTCTTTACCCATTCTAACTAATGAATCCCCCGAATTCTCCCTATCTCTACCCCACGTTCACTCCCCAGTCTTGTTGGAATGAGTACTGAGGAAATAAATGAACCAAACTGCAACTGGATAACTGCAGACATCCAAATGAAACTGAAGCAGGGCAGATTTAGAAGGCAGTGGTAGTGGAAGACCTTAGTCACGGCACGCTGCCTCCAGAGGTTTCTGTGCTGTTTTCCTGCAGACTCCAGAAAATCAAGGTGCCCTTTTTAGGTATTGTTAAGAAGCTCTTATAGCTTTACACACAACCAGATCCCAGCCTTTACGAGATTAAAGCACAAATTTTACTTAGCATCATGGAAGAAATTAGTTTCTGCTATGGAATTTCTTGAAAAAATATGGAAGGCAATACTGATGCAATGTTAAAATATTAACAGACCTTTTTTCCTTCTTATATGAAAAGGAATGCACTATTTACATATGGAGGCTCCCGTGAAGGTGATTCACAGAGATCTCAAGTCAAGAAACGGTAACATATGTTTTTCTTTTACCTATTTTATTACAATTACATGCCCCTGTGTATAGAAAAAGAACTCATGCTTTACATACCTTTTGTAACCTGTTTGACTCACTGCTGATACCATGGAAGTCTTTCCACTATCAATTAAATATCAAAATTCTCTGTTATTTGAAGAAGCTGTGTCATATCCACTGTACGAATATATGCACTGTATGAATATAGCGCACATATGAAAATTTGGATTGTTTATATTTTTTCTTTGATAAGAAATTTCATGCTTAATATCTTTTAGCCCAAATTTTTCAACACATCCTTAATTATTTTCCTAAAATCATTTTCTAAGCGAGATTTGCTGGATGAAAGTGTATAGTCATGTGTTTCTACTCTTCTATTTTTAGGTGTTTCTCTGTACTAGCAATTTCCAATTTTGTTCTTGTTAGTTTTGAATTACATGGTGCGAATTGTTTATGTTTGTCGTGCCCATATTACCTGGAGCAGTGCCCAAAATGGGCAGCGCATTTGGGAGTTTGGAAAGTAAAGGTTCTATTTCTCTTCTTCTGTACTTTATAAAGTTAACTTATAATCCTGTATTTTATGATTTGGAGGGTAAGCATTTTAAAATAGCTTGCAGGATAAGACTTTGCCTTCAAGTAGGAGTGGTAACAGAATGCTCCTTCTGTTCCGTCACTTCGCAGTTACTGGAGAAAGGCAGCTGGGGATACCTTAGCCGTCCAGAACTAGCTAAGCAAACATCAGAGGTTGCCACTTTTTTTCAAACCTCGCTTTTAATTAATTAGTCGTGTACATGTTTTCTAAGTGGGTCTTCTCAGGGAGGAGGATGAGAACTATTTCTTTTTAGCAGCTCTTTAGTTCACTTCAGTTAAAGTGGATACATGTGACACCCATAGCTCAGTTGGCAGGGCACCGGCCACCTGCACCAAGGGTGGCGGGTTTGAGCCCAGCCTGGGCCTGCTAAACAAATACTGCTACCAAAAAATAGCCAGGTGTTGTGGCCAGTGCCTGGGATCCCAACTGCTTGGGAGGCTGAGGCAAGAGAATCTCTTGAGCCCAGGAGTTTGAGGTTGCTGTGAGCTGTGATGCCATAGCACTCTACCCAGGGTGACAGCTTGAGACTCTGTCTCAAAAAATAAATTAATTAATTAATTAATAAAGTGGGTACATGCTGACAGTGTGATCCTTAGCATGGGTGGTGATGGCACGTAGTTGAAGGGGACCAGGGAATGAATGGACCAGGCACCCTTGCTCATACGTGCTCCAGGACCTTGAGGTTTGTGTGTGCACTTGGCGGGGGATGGGAGGTAGCTGGCTGGCACCCGCCACTCATCAGTAGTCCAGGTTGGACCAACAGCTCAGCCCTGCCAGTTGACTCTGGCTTACTGTCCTTCCCTTTTCTAGGTTGTCACTTATCCTTTGGCTCTGGCTAGACATAAGTTTCCTGGAATTAGACATTTTTGATATATAATTGGCTAACCAGGAAGTCAGTATGTAATAATCTACAATTTAGTAGGAAAGATCAGTTTTATGACTTTCTAAATTTTCAGTTCCTGCCCAGAATTCCAATTTAAACAAGTGATTTGACTTCAGTACATCCTGAATCTTCCATGAAAGAATGGTTAACTAAATGATGAGCTTCTCTTCATGCTATTATTATGAAGAAAGCGGTGCAGGATGTCACCATTTTTTAAAATTGCAATTTGTGGGTGGTTACTTTTCTGGGAACACACATACTTTCTTATTAAAAGACTATAGACCTAACTTTTAACAGTTTTTTTTTTTTTTTTGGGGGGAGAAGGAACAAGACTCTTTCTTTTTCTATGTTTTACATATATATATTTTTTTCTTTTGCAGGTTTTTTTTTTTTTTTCCCCGGCTGGGTTTGAACCCACCACCTCCAGCATATGGGGCTAGCACCCTACTCCTTTGAGCCACAGGCACCGCCCTGTTATATATATATTTTTTTTATATTGGTAGATTTTGTTGAGTACTTTTTAATCTTATAATGGGAAAACTGAATATAATATTAACAATATTTATGTTTCTATTTGTAAAACTTTATAGCTTGTTTATAATATATTTACCCTGAGGCTATTTCTATATATTAATTCATGCAAAAATTATTTCCTCACCTTATTAAAATCATTATTAGCAACTAATAAGTATTGCTCCTTTACCATGTTTAAGGCACTGTATGGCTTATGAAAGAAACACCAGAAACTTATCTTCATGGTCTTATCCTTGACCTCATCTCCTCTTATGCTCTTATTCTCACACTCCCATAAATGCCCCTACATTTAATAGTCCAAAACAGATCCCAACTTCAAATCAATATCTCTATATGCTTATTAAACATACTCACATAGGTATTATTTATGACCCTTAAATGTATCATGTTCAGACTGACCTTTTCATCTTCATTCAACCTCACATCCTCCAAAAAGTCATTTCTGCATTTCCTTTACTGAGTGAGTAGCAGTGAGTTGCCTAAGCTAGAAATTAAATGAACAGGAGTTAGAGTTTGGGTTCTCCTGCTTCTCCCCTCATACCCAGCTTTCATCAAGCCCTGTGTCCTAAGTATTTCTTGACTCCGTCCACTTCTCTCCTGTCCTTTTCCCTGTACAGCCCTAGTCCAGGCATCCTCACTTCTCTCGGACCACACACACTTCCACGCTCAGTGATCCCCTTGCCGCTGGTCCTGTTCTTCTCTGACCCAGTCCTCCCTCTGCACATTTGCTCATCTCATTCCTCCACTTAGAGTTGTTCCTTGGTTCTCCATTTCTCACAAGGGCTCCCCTTGCCCTGGCCCCTACCTTCCGTAGTTGCCATACCATTCCTTCTTCTCCTGAGTTTTTGCCTGGGCTCTGTCTTCTGCCTAGGAAATTATTTTCCTCTTTCTAGCTAAGCCCTGTATTTTTCAGGTGCTAACATAAGTATCATTTCTTTCAGGAAACTTCATCTGATCTCCTCAGACTTAGATATTCTTGTTCTTGGGTTCTATAGTACTGTCCTCATAGGATTTATCCCACTTTGTATTAGATGTTCATTTAATCTTCTCTCTGATTAGACTGTGAACCCCATGTGAACAGAGACGATGCTGATCTGACCTTCCTATAGTGCATAGCCTTACACATAGTAGGTGCTCAGCGTATATTTGTGAAATGAATGACTGTATGAATACGTGATTAAATATTGTCTCTTCAGTTGGGAGAGAATACGATATATACCATAAAGGAGTAATGGTAATGACTTCCTTGGTATCACATTGGCAGTCTATTGGTAGAGCCCAGGTAAAAATTTGGTTCTAACAATTCCTACTCATTTATGCCCTTTTTTGTTAGAACTGCATTTGGATAAAACAAGTGTCTTAAAAGCCTTTTCCATTAGGCTTTTATTTTAATGTCAACAACCTTTGCAAAATCTTCACTGCTGTAAATAACATTGATTTTTGCCTTTTATAATGCCATATTAAGGACAGAAATGTACGTTTCTGATTTCTTTCAGTACAAGACAGTTCACACTAATTAAATAATTTTCATAATTTATCTTTTTTTATTTTTTAGTTGTCATAGCTGCTGATGGAGTATTGAAGGTAGGACTATTTCTTTAATTTAAAAAAAATTCTTAATTTCAGATGTAAATTCTTGTGACTTATAATTTTTTTATTAGCTGAAAAGTAGAAAGTTAACACTGGCTTTTTTCCCTTAGATCTGTGACTTTGGCGCCTCTCGGTTTCATAACCATACCACACACATGTCCTTGGTCGGAACTTTCCCATGGATGGCTCCGGAAGTTATCCAAAGTCTCCCTGTGTCTGAAACTTGCGACACATATTCCTATGGTGTGGTGAGTTCATTCTCATTTTTTATTTGCTAAAGGAGCTGTAGAAATATAACAGTTTATCACAGGAGACAGCACTGCTATTTCTAGTGGAATACCTGAAACAGTGGCAACCAGGAGAGCACTTTCTGATATCTAAAATGTTTCCTTTGGTCATTTTTATACTTCTGAGTTATTTTGTCCTGTGTTAAGAAGAAACCAATGTCACATCCAAGAAACAAGTTAGATGGAAGCTGAAGTAATGGCGGCCTCACTTCTCCATGGATAGTGCTTTTTTGCAAGGTGGAGAAATGACTGTAGAATGTTTCTGTAATTCAATTGGACTGTGAATCATCTATGAGGACTTCATTGTCACAGGCTGCTCAAACAGTATAAAGCCACCCATAGATCTGCCAGGTGGGCTAACTAACAGGACACTTCTGACTGTGAGCTGTTCAGTAACCAGTGCACCCTGATTAGTGAATTTCTAAAAGCAGAAAAGAAAATGTACTTAGCCACTGGCAGATAGTCTTTTGCATGTCTGCTGCTCGGCATAGAAAGCAGTAGTGACTATCTGAAACATGAATCTAAAGTATCACATAAGAGTAGCAACAGAGCGACCTGGAAGAATAGAATAACCTGGAGGCAGTGTCCGCGGGCACAGCCGTCACAGGACTGAGTCAGGTGAGAAGCAGGAGCTGCTGGGGGAGCAGTGTGGAGGGGTCTTTCCTGGGGAGTAAGTCGTGCCTGCACTTTCAGAGAGGAGGAAGCCGGTAGGGGCAGTTCTGTTTGTTGGCTGTTTTTTGAAGGTTGGTTTCCCCTACAATGTTTATATATCCTTTAAAAGTCCAAAATTGTGTTTGGAACTCGCGCCTTCACATCTCATCTCCCGCTTACACTGCCTCTCTGTTTATACTATTGCTTCTTAAAAGGACATTTTCACAGTGATTTTAAATGCAGCAGGCTAATTTGGGCCCATTTCAGCGTGCCTCTTCCTTCTGAATGTCCGTGTCTTGGAGAATGAATGGAGGGAGCCACTGGCACAGGAGACGATCTGTGATGTCGCGCACGCTCCTTTCCTTTCTTCACTCTCTGTCTACTGCTGCTTCATTTCTTAAGTTCTGGGCTTGTTCCAGTTGGCTTGGTCTTTCTAATTCGTAATACATCTGATGTATACAAAATTCATACAACAGGGTTGAATTTTGTGGCCCTTTCAAAAAAATCATTTCAAGAATAAAATGTTTGGCCAGGCGAGGTGGCTCCCACCTGTAATCCTAGCACTCTGGGAGGAGGGTGGATTGCCTGAGCTCCGGAGACCAGCTTGAGCCAGAATGAGACCTCATCTCTTAAAAAAAACAGCCCGTGGGCTGTGCGTGTGGCTCAGTGAGTAGGGTGCAGGCCCTATATACCGAGGGTGGGGGGTTCAAACCTGGCCCCAGCCAAATTGCAACAAGAAAATAGCTGGGCATTGTGGCGGGCACCTGTAGTCCCAGCTCCTCAGGAGGCTGAGGCAAGAAAATCACCTGAGCCCGCGAGTTGGAGGTTGCTTTGAGCTGTGTGACACCACGGCACTCTATCAAGGGTAATAACGTGAGACTCTGTCTCTAAAAAAAAAAAAAAAAAAAATAGCCGGGCATTGTGGCAGGCACCTGTAGTCTCAACTATAGGGAGGCTGAGGCAAGAGAATCACTTAAGCCCAAGAGTCTCAAAAAAAAAAGAATAAAATGTTTGTGGCTAAAGCCTAGAATTTCAAAGGTTTGAAGACAAGAGTAACATCAGGCTAAATACCTAATTTCCCTTGATTCTGGATGTTTCTAAGAATAAAGACTATAAACTATTATGGGTAGTGATTAAATAATTCTCATTGAAAGAAGGAAAAAACAAAACCTAAGTTCCTGAGAAGACTATTCTAAAACTGGTCTATAATGTCTTAATTTATTACATTCTGACACCATAATGGATTCATCTCCTGGGCATTTTAAAAATGGGGTATCTGATACAATTCAAAACTCTTTTGTGAGTTTTTTTTCTCTTATGAAGTTATGTTCATTCATTTTTAAGCAACAATTAATTTATTAAGTCAGGCACTGTGCTAGACACTAACATAGGGTAATTTAAATGTTACTTAGCCTGTTCGTCGGGACTAGTGTCTCATTTTATCCTGTAGAACAGGAGCCAGCACACTTTTGTATAAAGGATCAGATAGTACACGTTATTATTGGCTTTGAGGGCCATTTACAGTGTCTGTTGCATCATTGTCCTTTTTCGTTTGTTTCTTACCACCCTTAACACATGAAAAAACTTCCTGGTCTGCAGCAGACCCCTCTGTGGAACAAAAGGGGTTGGAAAGATAAGGACTGAGGCTGAAGAATGTGGCTCAGTTAGTCAGTGTTCCTGCTGACAGTTCCGAGCAATTCACTCCCTCCGTACACATGTGTATATGAATGTATACAATCATATATGGATATGTTGGGCTTATATCTATCTGTTGGCTATAGTTTGTATAGATGGTTATAATTTCTAAATTGTTTTGTACATCTATATGAATTAGAAGACTTTTGAGGTTCATTTTTTGTATGTATAGTGCTTTTACTTTTAAAATTCTTCCTTCATCTTAGCATTTTCCTCTCTCAGAAATGTTTTGTTTTGAGACAGAATCTCACGTTGTCGCCCTGGGTAGAGTGCCATGGCATCACAGCTCACAGCAACCTCCAACTCAGGCTCAAGCAATCCTCTTGCCTCAGCGTTTATATTTGTAGTAGAGACAGGGTCCCACTTTTGCTCAGGCTGGTCTCAAACTTGTGAGCTCAAGCAATCCACCTGCGTCGGCCTCCCAGAGTTGCTAGAATTACAGGTGTGAGCCACCCCGCCTGGCCAGAAATGTTTGACCTGAAGATACAACTATGAGTTACACATGGAGTAAACTTTGGGTCTCAATATTATTTCGTTATGAAACAAACTTAAGGCTGCCACCTTGAAAAACCTGACAGTTGCCAGGGCCTTCGGTGTGAAATGCACCCTCTGCTTTTCCTTAGTTGAAAGACAGTCTCTGTGCTAGTGGCCAAGCACACCCTTCTTTTCACACATGAACCATAAAAGATGTTAAAGTTGACGTGTATTTGCAGAGCTTCGGATCTCTTCCTGGATCATTTTAAAATCCCTTTCATACATTTCACATTGACCCCACTTCTTAAACGTAGTCTGAGTCAACCTTTCTGGAACTGTGTAGTTTCAGCTTATTTTATTAAAACTTTTTTCACTCGAGTAGCGTTGCACCACTTTTCAGTAGAAGGGCCTAAACATATCCCTTTGTAGTTCAGGCTTTTTATCCCCTTGTTTACTGACCCTGCCTTTGCTTGGTTTGGTTTTGTTTGGAGGCAGATTTCACAGATGCTTAACAAATCCACCCTATCAAGTAATTTGACTTATTGAAACAAACTGGACCGCCAACCTCTGGGCATCTCCAGTGTTGCTCTGTATTTATACACCAGATACTGCTCTTCAGAACTCCCCTGCCCCAGTTGCCTGATTTGGAATATCAATTCTATAGTTACCCTAGAGCCTTCCCTTAACTGGTGGAGGTACAAATGCTCTTTCAGTGACTATTTTAAACACCTTGTGCCCTTTGACTGTCTAGAAGAGAGAGTTGGGGCCAAATCATCAGACAGGCAGACAGAATTCCATTCAGAAAAGTCTGCAGATGCTAATTTAATTATAAACAGGAATTCAGGATTGTATTTAATTCTGACCCCTTCCCATTGTGTTCATTCTAAATAAACACCATTAGTGAAAGAAAAAATACGCTGCATGCTTTCCAGAGCCATTGTATTTAAATGATCACAGTTGTTTTTCTTTTTAAATGAGGAACAGCTCTGTGTGTTCAAAGTAGATATTACATAAAAGAGCAAGAAAGGACAGTTTTTAAGGTGAGTACCATGTTGGTTTTAGAAATGTGTGGTCCATAAACTTTGAAAATGATACCTATCTAGGAAAGCAGCGTGGCTAATTAGAATTTTTGATATCTTTTGAGAAGTAGTCTAGTAACTAGGACTCATTTGTAAGTAGGAGCTTCTGTTTCCATAAAGCATCCCTTAGTTCATGAAGGGTCTATTCCGTTAGTTGAAACCTCGCCCCCGATTCACAGCAGTCATACACAGATGAACCATTAAAAAAAGTTGTCATTTTTGAAATCTACCCCCAAAACGCAATATATGTTTATTTTTCCGTATTTTCAGACTTGCTATAATAATTGAACCTAATACTCTCAAAAGTACCAGCCTCCAACCCCCAGCTTGATAAACCCGTGCTGCTGCCTAACCAATGGAAAGACTCCCTGGCCTTGTGCTGCCTTAAAATAAATGTGCTGCAAATGCCAGAAACGGATCTTGTGATCCTCGCTTCTAAGCTGGTAATCTCTGCCAGGCAGGCAATTGTTTCTCTTTCCATTTTATAATAAAGGAGATTTTTCTACCCCCCCCCATGATAACTTCTCCTGAAGAACTGAACCAGGCCTGTTTAGTATGTTATCCACCCCCCCAAAAGGAAGGTCTTAAGGAAAGCAAAAATCATCGAAAGAATAAGCTATCTGCAAACAATTCTCATTAAAAACAATTGTTTTCTAATGACAATGCACAAAGGATTACCTTCTTAAAAGCTTCTCCGCCAAAACCAGCTTTGGAAAACAGTGGCTTAAGAGACAGCATCACTGCCTCGCTTGTCTGCGAGCCCTGTTCCAGAACACACCAGGCTCAAGTAATGGCTTTCTATTGTTTGTAAAAGAAAAGGCAGGAAAAGTACACAGCCTTGTCCAAGTTTCTATTCTATAAACTGAAAATAGAAGTTTTCCTGGTGAACAGTTTTAAGTGTGAGGACGTCTCAATATAAAATGAGTGGGAAAATGTTTTTAAGCTGAAAGATCACAGTAACATTGGCCACGTCCTCGTAACTGGTACTTTGGGGCATAGTTTAATGTATTTTTAGACCTCCAAGTGACTTCCTTGACAAAGTTACTTTTTTATGCCAAATGTCATTTTGTTTAATATAGAAAACGCTTTTCTCCTCTCTCATACATACCCTTTACTTTTTAATACTTTCCCAAACCTGGAGAATGAATACCAGGAAATCATGAGATACTGGAATTCAACCGAAGACCTCACTTGGGCCACAGGACCCAGCAGTTAATGACACCATCCCAGACAGTTTTCAGGCTTCACGTGACTCCACACAGAAGGAATAAAATGAAACTGTCTTTATTTTTTTTCAGGGTTACAACTCAAATGTAACTTGAGTCATATTAGATTTTGGATATTTTCCAGCAGAACAAAAAAATGACATACATATTTTTCTGGTTACTTTGGGAATGCCCCAAACTCTTGGCTTTGCAGTGTACCTCACAAAATCCAGTCAGAGTGTGTGTGTGTGCGTGTGTGCGTGTGCGTGTGTGTGTGCGTGTGTGTGCGTGTGTGTGTGTGCGTGTGTGTGTGTACATGGGCACACACATTGTGTTATGCATGGGGGTCCAACTAGGAAAGGAGCTACAGGGCTGCTCATCCGAATGTTTGGGTGTCTGGAGCACTTGATTTACGTGAGGCTGGTGCCCTGTTCCCTTCTCCTTAGTTATGCCAAATCCACTAATCCACTTGCACTTCCGATCCTTGCCCCTCCCCGCCCTGGCGCCCCTGGAGTGGTGGTGGCAGCACATTGAGAGGTTTCATTTCCTGCTCAGCCCCCTGGCTGCCCCCACCTTCCCTCCGCCCATGCCCGGGAGGTGTGGTGGGGTGCTTACGTACCTGCTCCGACTCTCACCCTGCCTTTACTTGCAGTATTCACTAGCGTTACCCCTTCTGGGATGCTCTTACCTTATCCTAATCACTTGTGTGACTCAAATAGAATTATTCAGTAGCTCTTCTAAAGAAGTACCTTACACACTTGATTAAAGCCCCAAAGAGGCTTCCGTGAATTTTTTTTTCTCCTGCTTTAGCAGCATCTGCCAATTTCCCTGATTTTCCTACTAATTATCTTCATATTAGCCAGAATTCATTTAACATGTTATGGCTCGAATAAGACTGAGCACTGGCAAAGGGCACAGTGGATATAGACTTAAAGGTTTGAACAGTTTGCTTGATTAGGGCATATATCCTCCATCTACATTCTTATTTAGAAATGGGCTTTTGTTTTTAGAACAAGGCAAATCTAAATCTAAACTGCTCGGTCTCTTCCTGCTTCTGCCAGCGTTCCATACCTAGGATACGGTATGTTTCTTTCTGGTCCTGCCACTTCCCCTTCCTAGAATTATAATACGTGGGGTTAAGAGCATGGGGTTAGACAGCAGGCCCATATGCTGGCTCTGCTGCTTGGTAACTGAATGTCCTTGAGCAAGTTTGCTTCACTTTCCTAAGTTCTAGTTTTCTCCCCTGTACAGTGAAGATACTGTCTATTCAATGAGATTGATATGGATCATGATCACGTGTGTAAAGTATACCTGAACGTAATAGGTACTCAATAAACGGTAGTGGTGGTTATCAGGATGATTGTTATTGATAAAATCAGAATTATTTTTGCACTTTTCAGAATATCAATAGACTTAAATTTTTGAAGTCCGTGTGTATAAACAGAGAAAGTTTAACAGAGTGTTCAAATCTCCTTTATTCAGGTTTTTAAAAAACCCCAAATCTATAGCATTCCTGGCACCAATTTTCTTCCTTTAGGCATTCCAGACTACATTTATTAGCCATCCTGACTTCAAGAATTGGCACAGTGATGAACACAAACATAAATTCACATATGCCCATCGGCTTACATATGCATATATAAAGTATTTGTTCCATTTTAGAATATGGTATAATAAATTTGGTTATAGGTAGATGAAAATGAGTCCCTTAGACTGACTCATTTTGAGGAGGATTTCTCCAAAACACAAAATCTAAATGTTACGATTTTGCGAGTACCTACCATTATGGGATAGGTGGGTTAAACTAAGTGATTTGGGATTCTTTTATTTTATGAGACCATTATTGAACCTTTAAAAATATGGTTGAATCCCCAGTTATTATCTTATAGGAAAATACTTAAAAGATTTAGAGAAGAAAGAGTTATACCTAACAAAATAGAAAATGTAATTTGTGAGAATATGTGAAAATTAGAATAATTTATGAGATTAAATCCCTCAGGCCTATTGGTTTTATAAAATTTTAAGTCTGGCTATAGATGTCCTAATTTCTAAACCAGGTATTTTCTTCATGAAAAAGAACATAAAAAGTATATAATATGTGGAAGAAGTCCTCTGTGTGAATACATATGTTTTGCCCAAGTTTCTACAGATGGGAGTTGGTAGTGTCTGGTAATTGGATACAATTAAATGTCAAAGTTTCAGTAACGCACCGAAAATATAAAGTACAAGAATAAAAATTCCATTTCCTTTTTGTTCCAGGTTCTCTGGGAGATGCTAACAAGGGAGGTCCCCTTTAAAGGTTTGGAAGGATTACAAGTAGCTTGGCTTGTAGTGGAAAAAAACGAGGTAAGACTACATTTCTCCATTCAGGTACATAGATCAGAAAACAGTATTGGGGTTTTGCAAAAGACTTTTTCATCTTCTTCAAATTGAAAGTAAGTTCACGCTTATGGAAAGATTAGCAGTAGGAGCTAACACAAAGGGTCAAAGTGATGTTATTCCTCATGAATGGACCCTTTACATCTAATTGTTGCAGCTTCACGTCGTGATGCTGTAGATCAAAAATTGTACAAGTACTGTACTAGTTTCTCAGTCTCAATTGTAAAACCTAGGGGTTTGTTCTTAGTGATGAAAGAAGCCATTGCGTCCAAGGTAGGGGAACAGTTTAACTCCATCTCCTGCGTTTAGGACATCTTTTTTACTGGCCGGGAGTTGATATATCTGTAAGAGACCTTCAGCTACTTCAACTTACCTCTCCCAGCAGGAGTCACTATAGTACAAGAAACTGTCGCTTAGATGAGAATTTCAAAAATAAAAGAAGAAAAAATAGTTTCAAAAAAGGGAAAAATTACAGTTTTGCCACCTACGTTGAACACTACATTGAAGATGAGCTCCTCACTGGAATTGGCGAGGCAGTGGCATAACCGCTCGCTTCTTCATGCAGAGCCTTTCCATTTCAAAAGAACTTCAGTGGTGTAAACACCGTTTGTGCTGTGTCCCCAGCCTCGCTCCTCTTCTTCCCACAAATTGAGGCTTTCAGTTAGTTGGACCTATGAGCCTACATCAGAGGACATGGTACATTCATATCAAAGAGAGCAACTACGTTTTGAAAGGTTTAAAATTGTGACTGAAATGCACAGCCATGGAAATTCTCAGCATAGGGATGAAGCATCCGAGAGCAAGGTATTAGGAGAACTTAGAGCGTGTAGTGGAAGCGTGCAGTCGTCTTTGCAATGCAAAACAACTTTATTTTACAAAACAACCTCATTTCCAAATCTCATCTGTACCCTCCATAAAGGGTATGAGCGCAACCTCGGGATAAAAAAAATTTGCAAAAAACTGAATCTATAAAGCTAGTCTCTTTTTAATGCCCTAAAAGAATTAGATTGATCTGTTCCTCATAGGAGTGCAGGAACAAACCAGATTAATCAAAAAGCTGCTATGGACAAGGAGAAACCAAGTTTCCATCTTTTAGATCACATAAGCTGGGATACTTTATAATTTGTCCTCCTGATAATGTTGGACTGGATGAAATGTTGATGATAGCTGGACTTGAGGGGAAAGAGCTGCCAATTTAAGGAAAGAGAAGGGGTTACATGCGAGAATCTGCACTATTCATTGTTTCACAGAAGCTATTCTGTTTTAATTAAATGTAACAGTACTTCTTAGTGTGCTATTAAATAAGATCTCACACACAGCATAACTGGTCCTTTCTTAATATGAGGACCCACTTGTTTCTGTTCTGGGGTTTGTTTTTTTTTTAACCAGTGAGAAGATCAGACATCTTGTTCTGGGTTTACAAACGAAAGTGAAGAAAATTACTGACCTTGTGTTGACTCAAGAGCAGAACACTCAGTGTAATCTGTTTTCTCTACACTGTTCAGAGCTAAACTAGGAGAAAGTTGGTTTTTGTTTTTTTTAAAGCTAACTAGAGCCTCCAAAGATGTATAAGACAGAATAATATTTTAAAATCATAATTTATCTAAAGGATGGCGAGATAGATACAGATCTACAGCCTTCTTTTAAATATTGAAGTATCTGTCAAGGATTTTTAAAGCTGGGGAAAAAAAATTATTTTAGAAGCCGCCTGGATAGTTGATTTGAGGGTTGGGAATCAACCATGAACAACCTTCAGAATCTCTTCCTCATTGTGTACAAAGGAAGCATGTTCTTTCCAGAAATCCTATCCAATAAAGTTTACTGTTTTATTCATGGTATCCTGATGATCAGCTAATAACTAATGAAGACAACTCAAATACAGTTCATACTGTGTTTATTGAACATAATACTAAGTTGAAAGAAATCCACATAGTTTAATAAATCTTCTTGCTACTGAGCTTAAGTAACATAGAATATTACAAGGGTATTTATTTGCTATTCTTATTCTGTAGAGAATTTGTCAAAAATATGGAAATTAAATTTAAATGTAAATTTCAGTGTCCTTATTCAAGAAGGTGAATTTTCACCTCACAAGTGTAGGGACTCATTTCCAAAATCATTTGTTGGCATAGCATTAAGATAAATCCCAAGGATTTAATTTCATAACAAAATTTACACTATCCTTTTAACTTTTCGTTATTTTCTTTTCTTTTCAATGTTGACTACCTTAGGTTATTAGGTTAAAAAGAGAGCATCGTGTTTTCAACAAGCTTTGTTTTAATTGATGTGTTTATAAACTTTCAAGGATATGTTTTGAATGTGATCTAGTCACCCTATTAACGTATATATCCAAATATTAGGGTTGACTTTTCTTTTTATTTGAAATACAGATTTACAAGAATTTACAAAAATACCACAAAGAATTCTGTGTACCCTTCACCTAGCTTCCTTCACTGGTAACATCTTACATGTCTGTAGTATGCTGTCAACCCCAGGGAATTAAGATTGGCGCATTGCTAGGCAATAGACTTTATTCAGTTCTACCATTTAGGGTTGCTTTTTCCATCTGTAGGAAAGTCAACACTTTCTAAAAATTATATCTGAAGATCTTTGCTTCTAAACCCTTGCTAATGAAATAAGGCCTTTAAGCAAGTATTTCTCTAGTATTAAATCCTATGAAAACTAAATTTATAAAGCACTGCTAAATACAGTGTAAATAATGAACCTTTACCAAAGGCATGAAATTAAGAGGGCATTACTAATAAATTTTTAAAATGTAACATATGAATATCTTCTTCTGTCATTTCCATAGAACTCAATCAGTAGTCATTCAGAATGTCTGGTAGCATACATCTATTTATATAAATACTGATATTCTTATACAAATGTGTTTTCTTCCAAGTATCAAAACTATTTGATTGACATAGAAATCTTCATAAAACATAATCTATCGCTCTTGACTATATTTCAGAAAAAGATAAAAATTTGACAAAGTTTTGTATATTATGCAGAAAACGGTACAAAAATGAATATGGTCTTGGCCATGCACAGTGGCTGTCACCCATAATCCTAATACTCTGGGAGGCTAAGGCAGGAAGATCACTGGAGCTCAGGAGTTGGAGACCAGCCTGAGTAAGAGTGAGACCCCGCCTCTACTAAAAGTAGAAAAAGTAGACAGGTAGCATAGAGGCCACCTGTCATCCCAGCTACTTAAGGAGGCTGAGGCAGGAGGGCCACCTGAACCAAGGAGTTTGAGGTGGTTGTGAGCTATGATGCTACAGCACTCTAGCCTAGGCAACAGAGTGAAACTCTGTCTCAAGAAAAAAAAGGAATATGGTTTTTACAGAATGTCATGCCTAATCTAATGATTGGGAAATACTTTAATTTGAAACTTTTATTTTAAGATATTTAAGTTTTAAGTAGTATTGCAAACCCGGTGCTAAGATCTGGTTATTTCAAAATGTTTTAATGCATCAGGAATGCCCACAGTTATGTAATCAGGACTTAAATACTTTGGGCTCTATTTTAAAGTACTTTTTAATGCACCAATATAACCATTACATGAAATGTCTGAGTCCAGGTTTGACTGTTATTTGACAATGTCAGAATGTGTAAAAAATTGTCTCTCCTTGTGTAATATCTCAGATGTGATATCTAAACAGTTTTTCAGTAAGAAAAGATGACAGAAATGATCAACATTTACATTCAGGCAGTTCACATTTCAGCTGTTAGAAAAATGTCCAGACAAAGTTGTGTTGAACAATGTTACCCTTTACAAAACTCATTATTTTTAGCTACATGTGGAACACATTCAGTCTGTTTTATTAGTTCAGACTTCTTGATCATTTTATATTAAAAAAAAAGTAAACACCTGAATTTTCTTTTGACCTTTATCAAAAGATTTGCAGTTCATATTACAGTAAAATAATACCCCATAGTACAGTTTAATACATCGTGTTCTGTTCTGTGAAATCACAAGACTAGAAGTTAAAAGTACTTTGTGTAGCCTTTCAGTTGGAGAGAGTTGTTTTGTTTTTAACTTTATGTTGTTTTGATTTTAAGATTTTATCTGTAAATCCAAATATAGACTTTCAGTTTTCTTGCCAAGACAACTATTTTTCTAGTTTTACATGTAGCCTCCCTAAACCCAACAAAGTTCAGTTTTACGTTTTTATTTGCAAAACTTCTTTGGCAGACAGTCCTGTGGAATAAATCATACTTGTTAGTACAGCAGTTCTCCACTCCATCACATTCAGCGCTGCTTATAACAACTGTGTTAACACTCCCCACTCCCTGAAATGAAGTTCAGAGGCAACACGATGCATCTATGCACATATTTTAAGTCAATATGATGCTCCACCCATAACATAGAAGAGAAATAAACAAAGTATGTACTGCAACATACAAATTGAGGCTGACCACACTAAAGGAGATGGCGGAGCAGGCTCAGCCTGCACCCATGGATGGGTAAAATCCAGAAGCTAGAAATGTACCTGCGAGTATTAAGGGCTCTAGTACCAGGAGCAGCACTTTTATCAGGTGACACTTTTCAAAAATCTTGACAGTTATGAATAATGCAAAAATCAGTCTGCCTTTGATTTACTTGGTAGTTGCATTCTCAGAAAGTTCAGTGTATTCTGTAACTGTTCAAAAAATATTTTGTGTTTATTTGTAAATGAAAGGTTTAGGCCCCGAAAATTATAAACCTCATTGCTTGCTTTGCACATGGGACATTTGAAATTTGGTAGGATGTAAGAGAATTCTTGATGATGTGGGACTTTATGGTATATTGTGCAATGTCTAGCATTCCTGACCGGCTCCCCTTCAATGCTGGTTGAGACTCTCTAGTCTCTAAAACAAACAACATTGCTTTTGCAGAGTAGAGGTTCACATGTTTCTGGGAACCACCACTCTAGAATATTGGAACAGGACTGGTCCTCACATGGTAATTTGTGTTGTATTGGGTGCTTCTCGTATATGCATTATCTCAGTGATCTTCTGTCCTGAAGATGCTTTCAGAGTTGTACCAGCAGCTGCCAAAGCTAAACTGGTTTCCTAGATACCTGGCCTGTTTACAGATACTGTAAGTTGCCTATGAAAGTGCACTGCCGTGTAGATTTAGAGCTAGTGTGTAAGTTCCAACTTGCCACTACTGTACTGTAGTCTCTTTTAGACTTGATTTTATGTTTTATGGCATATGTTGGGCTGAACCTCTATCCACTACATTTCCTCTTTGGAGAAAAATTATGAGTCTTTAGAGATTAGATATTACAAATCTAAACATAAATTGTCACCTGTCATACATTAGTCAATGGAAGTTTTAAATTTCATGTCTTCTTTATGTTCTCAAATTAACTTTTATGACCTTTCAAATCGTATTTGCTTGCTTTGATGAATAAATCACTGTGTATTATTTTGTTTTGTTTTCTGTCTCTCTGTTATAGAGATTAACCATTCCAAGCAGTTGCTTTGATGAATAAATCACTGTGTATTATTTTGTTTTGTTTTCTGTCTCTCTGTTATAGAGATTAACCATTCCAAGCAGTTGCCCCAGAAGTTTTGCTGAACTGTTACATCAGTGTTGGGAAGCTGATGCCAAGGTATATGCATATTTTGTTGTTGTTGTTGTTGTTGTTGAAAATTCTGAATTTCACTGTGGCTTTGAGTTTTCAAAACTTGAGGTAATAGGTTCAGTGCCCATAGCTCAGTGGTTACAGAACCAGACACATACACCAAGGTTGGCAGGTTCAAACCCAGCCCGGGCCAGCTAAACAACAGTGACAACTGCAACAAAAAATAGCCGGGCGTTGTGGCAGGTGCCTGTAGTCCCAGCTACTTGGAAGGCTGAGGCCAGAGAATCGCTAAGCCCAAGAGTTTGAGGTTGCTATGAGCTGTGACACCAAGGCACTCTACTGAGGGTGACAAAGTGAGACTCTGTCTCAAAAAAGAAAAAAAAAAAAACGCTCAACACCTGTAGCTCAGTGGCTAGTGTGCTGGCCACATATACCAGAGCTGGCAGGTTTGAATCCAGCCCGGTCCTGCCAAACAACAATGACAACTACAACCAAAAATAACTGGGTATTG